CGAGGTTCTGAGTGGGCCTGGCTTGGCATCAAGAGGGAACAGCATGCAGTCTTCTTAAGCTATCATCAGAGCAGCTGGAGATTCTTCAGACCAGAAGACATAAAAAAATAAAATAAAATAAAATAAAACTGTAACAAATGAATAATCTTTTAGCCATAGTGCAGATTTTAAACAATGTAGTCTTTCAGGGTTATCATGTAGAAACCCAAAACTCTAAACCAAAAGGAACCTTTGAGATCATGTAGTCCAAATACCTCAGTCATAAATAAGGAAACCAAACCCAGAGAGGTGAAGTGACTTGCTTAAGGTCATACAGCCTATGAGAGGAGAGTGACAGGTCTATAATCAGGTCTTGAGTCTAAAATTCTGTTTCCACTTAATTTTCTCTGCAGCCAGATTGAATTCCAGAAGTCATTTACACTTTCTTCTATCTAGGTTTCAAAGGAGTAGAGAAGTAGAGCAGAAATTACCAGGACTATCCACCCACTCCTGTAAAAATTAAGAAATAAATAAATAAAAGGTTCAGGCTTTGATCAAAAATAGATAATGATCAACTGGCCCCATCCCCTCTGAAGGAATACAACTTTGGCCACAACATAAGGAATTCTAATCATTGATTTGTTTCGTCTTTTATGACAAGTGTAATAAAGCAGTGGAATATGTGGGTAATATGAGTCTCTGGAAGTTTCGAAATAAGATTTTCATCTATCTGAAACAGATAATCTTTTCAAAAAGTTTTAAAAATGAACTCAGTTCCATAGAATGCCTTTTGTTCTCAGGGTTCTATGAAGTCAAGGGTCTTGGGCAAATGACACTGTGGAGTTCAGAACAGAGCAAGGATCAACCTTCCTCTAGAATGTAGAGTATTGATTTAAAACACTCCAAAGATCTGATTCTAAAATCTGACTCCATATCTCTCAGATACAGAATTAAGGATACAATTATAATCATAAAGATGATGTAGAATTCTAGTTAAAATCTTGGTCTTTAAGGTATGCTCCCCTCTCATGTATATACCCTGATTTACTTTTAGGTCCAGAATATTTTTTTCCTTCATCAACAAAATAACCCTTGGTCTCAGAAATTGTCAAAAGCACATTTTTCTTCTTTCACCCATGGAATTCTCGTAATCCAGTGACTAAGAGAATGAACTCTAGTGTCAGTCTGCCGGAATTCAAATCTCAGCTCTCCAGCTGGTTTAACCCCTCCTGTGCATTACTGAATTTCCAAAATGCAGATAATAATGGTACCTAACTAGAGAGTTACTGTGAGAATTATATGAGATAAGATTGATAAAACACTTATTTCAGAGTCTGGCACATAAATGTCCAATAACTATTTGCTATCTAATTTTTAAATACTATAAGTTTTATTATACCTTTAAGTGGAAAATGAAGTTGAATTCATCTAAAATACATCCTATTAATTGGAATGTAAAAAGGAGGAATACTCTGCCAAAGAAAAGGAGATCACTAACATTTGTTGAGTGACCTATTATGAGGCTCATTCTAAGTACCCAGCAGGCATCTCATTCAGTCCTCCCAATGACTCCATGAAGCAGCAATTACTATCCCTACTTCTAAGGATAAGAAAACTGAATTTTAAGGAAGTGAATAACTTGCCCAAGACTATAATTTTGATAAGTATTAAAACCAGAAACTAGTCAAGCTTTGAAGTTTATGCATTCTTTTATATTTAACACCAAGACTATAAAATTCTCACTAGATAATGTTAACACTCAGGTTATCTGTCTGAATCACAGAAAAAAAAAAAAAAAAACTGTGTAGAATAGCTCTGTCAGCTGGCAGAGGAAAAAGTAAGAAAAATCTGTAAGAACCTGAAAAGCACCTTTCCTTCTACTCAGCAGACCCTAGTAGTTTATTAACTACATAGTGTGGGGCTAGCACTTAGGCTTCCAACCCTGGCTTTGTCATTTATACGTAACATAAATTTAGACAAGTCACTAAATCTTTCTAAGCCTCAGCTTCTTCATAGTAAACAATAAATGTTAACTATCAGTATTTCCCTTGCATAATAGAAAGATTATCAAATTATCATTTCATATGCAAAAGCTATTATAGCTATGATTAATGTAAACCAGATTAGGTAATGAAATCATATTACCATCTTATATCACCTATACCACATATATCTTTTGTTTTAAACTATGTCATTTAAAAAATATTTTTAGATCTATCAATCTTATTGATAGCAGTTTTGTAAAGTGGGCAAGGTAGGTATTAATATTCTCAGTTCCTATAAATAAGGAAACTTAGCCTCAGCAAGTTTAAGTGATTTGTCCAAGATCATTGTTTTTAAAGGTTGAAGTGGGTCTAGAAATCAGGTCACCTGACTCCAAGATCAGTGGAAAGGAAAGATATGGGGAAAACAGTGACAGATTGTTAAAAGTACAAAAGAGTCAGGATCACAGGAAAATAAAAGAGGATATGAGGAGTCTTTGGGATATTTTATAGCTATGACATAGCTCAGGCCTGTCCTAGAGTCTTTTTTAGTCTTTACATGGCTGTACAAACTATGACAGAAGAATTTAAGTTTACAAATTCCCCTCCATCCAAAGAATCTCAATTGAGGTTATATTCCCAAAGCCAGAAGTATGGTGGGATCTCAGGGACCAAGCTGTGGTTAAATTCTCACCACTAAACAATAGAGCAGCTAGTGTAGATGGTATTATGATTGATAGCATGGAGCCATAAACCAGGCCTCTGGGCACATCAATCTAATATATGGTCATAATTACCCAGGAGCTTATCATCAAGTCAGCAGTTGCCCGACAGATGGACTTTGCAGAGAGCACCGTGAAGGGCAACAAGCTCTAATGCAATAGACTCCAGGAGGAAAGCTCCCTTCTGCTTTATCACCGCTTGCAGGGTCAATCTTAGTCCTCTAAGAGGGTGCCCCCAAGAAGACTCCTTTCTGGATGGAGCAATGGAGCAATGTGTGTTTCTTCAGACAACCATGGTAGATAACATGTGGAAGAGAGTCTCACTACCCAACTCTTTTGACCCTGGAGCTGAGCTCCTAAAACGCATTGTGCCGCTGGTATGCACTGTCTGGGGCTGGCCACCTGCTGCCCAGAGAGGCGTTTGGAGCTGAGTGTGAGTGACTGACTACCTCGTACTCCTGCAAGTGCTATTCCATCAAAACCACCACTTTCACCCTAAAATATTTCCCCACTTTATTTTGAATTAAAATGGACAGAAGAGAGATTGAATATCTTAAAGTGAATCAGCAGCCTGAATATGCCAGCTTCAAATTTCAGCCATGCAGGGCCACTCCAAGGAGTAGGTTAAAGGTCTCAGAAATGAAACCAAGAGATAATTTCTGCTGTGCACTTGAGCGAAAAATGAGAAACCAACTTTAGGTGACGCACAGGGTTTTCTGACCCTGACAGTTTGTTTGTCTCTACCTTTCCCTCCCTCTCCCCACTGGCTGGGAAAGAGACAGGGCAGGGAACAGGAAGACTCCTGGATCTCTCTCCTCTGGTGAATCAGTTGGGTTAATAAGCCACTATCTTAACTGAACATAAGATTCTAGGAGAGTCTTTAGAAGAAATGTACCTAATTACCAAACTTAAATTATTCACACTAAATCATAATTTCTCAAATAGGTTCGACACTCCCACAATATAGTTTCATTTTAATATATAAGTCCTCAGAACACCCCTCAAATGGTGGCTATCCTGGGAAAGGCTTGATGCGAAGCCCTAAGGGCCTTTGGGACAACTTCCAGGCACTTTTTAACTACTACTGTCCCTCAACCCTACTTGTCCTCATCAATATTTCTCGTCTATTCCTATTTGGTTACTCCCAAAACCTGATAACATGTTCCTACCAGTCTGACCTTTTGCATTCTGCACTTAGCGTGTAGAGTTGTTTCTGGAATGTAGATTAGATCTCTCTCCTCTGATTAAAATCCTTTAATAGTTTCCCAAAGATTCCAAGATACAGATAAAACTCACCAGCTTAGAAAACAGCTCCACTTGGACCCCACTCTACTTCTCTAGCTTTCTTCCCTCTGTCTCCACCACACACACCTTTTGTTTCTGCTATTCTTGGAATGTAGCTTCCCGTTCTGTGCTCTGGTCTATAGCATCCATACCTCTTTGCTGTCCTAGCCATTCTCCAAGTCTTTCGAGACTACCTGCTTTGGAAAGCCTTTCTCCTCCCCAATGCCAAGTCCACAGATCTAGATCCGTATCATTGTGTACTTGTTTCTATAACAGAAGTGGACAGAATGCAGAAAGCTGGGGGGTTTCAGGAAACCTTCTAAAGCTGCTTTATTGGGTGTGTACACGATAGTTGAACATTAAAAAGTTAACCTATTTTGTTAATTTGCAGAAGACTTTCTTCATGTCGTAACTGTCCCTTGGGCACCTGACAAATGTGTATGATGGTTCCACAGTTTCCACTTTCACCCAATTTTTCTTTATTGACATTTATGTGTGTTAACATGTCCCTCACTCTTTCTGAAATGGACTTCATATTTATGTAAAGAATGCTTTGGGTTGCAGATTTCTACCTAGGAAGGTCATCCTATTCAGCCAAGCACACATTTCAGGCAAGATAAATACAGAGTAATGAGAGAGAAGAGATACTGGCAGCCATGTGAATCAAGACAGGTGATTAATGGGGGAACAGAAGCTGTAGCCCAAACACCTTCACATTGCTATGGCAGAACTGAAGGTGATGCCATTCTTAAATTCTAGACACACAGTGAAGCACTCAAATTATGCAGATCCACCCTCACTTAGTGGATCTACTTAATGCAGAAACTAAATAAAAATATATACCCAGACCAAAATATATATATATATGTATGTATTCAATATAAAGTCCCAAACAGAAGTATTCATAAGGCATAGGTGATTTAAATGAGGTGAGGGCATAAGACTGAAGATTATGTGTCACGCTAAG